GAGGGAGGAGGGAGGAGGAGCAGGAGGAGGAGGGCGGAGGAGGAGGAGGAGGAGGAGGAGGAGGAGGAGGAGAAGGAGAGCGGAGGAGGAGGGAGGAGGGAGGAGGAGCGCGCCAGCCAGTGCTGGGGGGAAGGATGAAAGGTCAACCCAGCCGAAGGGCCACTCTTGCGCGAAGCTGGTGCGTGCGCGCGCGCGGCCTCAAGCGGGGGAGAGCCGGGCCTTGCCCCCCTGGCCTCCGGCGGCGGCGGGCAGGGAGGGCGCCCACCTTCAGAGGCGTCCCTGGCCCAGGGTGTCCCTGGGGGGACTTCCTGGGAGGCCGAGGGCTTCTTTCGGAGGTTTTCGGCGCCCAGGGCGGTTGCCATCAGCTGCGCCTCGTCGAGGGCGTGCCGGGGCATGCGGGCGTCGTCCCGATCAGCTGCCTGAGGTCCGAGTCCGTTGTGTCCCCCTTGTCTCGGGCCCACGGATCGATCTGGCCCGAGAAGCGAGGGGTCAGGGTGCGGTCGTCGGGGGCTCTGGTCATGACTCTCTTGCGACGCGGCGGTGCTGTCACGGCATCGGCCTCGGGGACCAGACCTCCCACGGGCCCCAATTCGGGCCCAGGGCTCGGGTGGATGTCGGCTCCCGGATAGGCCTGGGAGGTCACATCCGCCAAGGTCTAGCCCGAAACGGGCTCGGGCGAATTAGCCACAACAAAAATCTCCGCCATCGGAGACGCCTGTCACGGGGCGACTGGAAACTTGATGCCCCCAAGCTCCAGGCGTCCCAGGACGGGCGCCCCCGATGCCCGAGAAAGACCATGGCGTACAGTCATCGAGCTATCATGAGGAACGTCAAGTTCGGCCAGAGAGGGCTTTTCTGGCCACGGCGCACCTCGGCCGCGAGTAGGCCCCTCGACCCAGATCTGAAGAACAGCCCGATTAGTAGAGCCCCTCCTGAGCCCAACGTGGTCCTAATTTCAGCGTCTTGACTGCAGTGTCGCCCTCCGCTCGCCACTCGCGGAGGCTTCGAGGTGGTCCGTGCGCTCCCTGCCCCCCCCCTGTCTTGACGAGGCGGCGGCCTCTGGCTCTGGTCGGCTACACTCAAGAATGACCCCTAAGCAGAAGATCTTGCCTCTGGTGCGCGGCTTCAGGGGGCCGCGGGCGGGATCAAGTCCAAGCACGCAAGTAGAGGGAAGAGCGCTGTGCACACGCGCAGACCCCGACCAGGCCCATCCTGGGGCCAGGATGGGCATGGCCAGGATCGGTGCACATGTGCACAGCTCTCGTCGCCCGAGCAAGCTAGTGCTGGAGGGGGGTGGGGAGGAAGGCCCCTGCACCAGTCTATGGGAACGAACAATGGCATGAACATAAAAACTCGGAGGTCCTCGCGTATTTCTCGGATCGGCACTGGAGACCCCCGGCGGCGCCTCCGGCGCCGCCCCTGGTGCGCTCCGCGCGCCAAGGAGGGGGGCACAACGCCGATCCGAGAAATTCGCGCGCCGAAATTTGATGTTTATGTCATTGTTTGTTTCCCTATCTTAACGCCAACGTGTGCGTGTCCACCGAGGCCCTACGACACGACGCAGGCGCTGTGATGAGGGCCGAAACGGGCGGCGTGCTTTCGGCGGAGTCGAGCGGGGCAAGCACACCATTGGGCAAACACACGTCCTGAGGATCGTCGAACCAGAGGCCATTCCAGCGAAGGGCCACCCTTGCGCGTGGCCCGCCTGCGCGCCCCACTGCACCTGGAAGACCGAGGGCGGCCACGGCGAGGCCCGCGAATTCGGCTGGCGGCGCGCCGCGGCCAGCGGGCGCGCGGCAGCGGCCTGGCGGCCTCGCGGCGGCCTCGCGGCGGCCGGGCGGCGGCCGGGCGTGCGGCCGAGGCGGCAGGCCGCGGGCGGCGCCCTCCGCCCCTGGCCCTAGGCCTCGGCGAGCCGTCGCCGGGTGTCGCCCGGGCTGCCGGGGTGCCCTCGGCGGCCGCCCGGCGTCGGAGAGCGGGCGCCGCTGCTGCGGCTGCGGCGGCTGGCGCTGCCGGGTCCCCGCGCGCAGCCGCCGCGCGGCGGCCGCCCCGGCCACGAAGACCGCGGCCGCGCACGCGAGCAGCGCGCCGGCGAGGGCGACCGCCGCGCCGCCGCTCGCGCCGCCAGCGCGGAGAAGCCCGCGGTGCAGGGAGTGCTTCCTCACGAACGCCTCCGTGACGTCCCCGCCGCCGGGGGCCGCGTGCGCGCGCTCCCGGATGGAGCCGCGCACGAACGCGCCCGACTCGGTGAGGTCCTCCTCGGACCAGCCCCCGGAGGCACTGGCGCTGTCGCGCAGCGCCGAGCAGGCCTCGGGCTTGTCGCTGATGGCCCAGTTGGCGTCGGAGATCTGGTGCTCCTCCAGGAAATCGAGCCACTCCTGCCGGGTGTTGCCACAGGTGCCCCTGGCCCGAAGTGTCCCCAGGAGTTCCCTGGAGGCCAGATGGCCTCCGGAGCACCCCATCACGAGGCCCGGAGGGCCCCAGGGGGGCTCCAGAATGGCGCGCAAGGCTGGAGACATCTTGGGCCAGGACCACGTCTAGCAATACCCGATCCTGCGTCGAGCCCAGGTCCACGCGACCGTCGCCGGTGTACTCGCAGGTGCCCCACTCCGTGGCGAAGACGGCGACGCCGTTGCGCAGCGCCGCAACGACCCTGTCCCGCAGCTCCTGTCCCATCGAGGCTGCGTAGAAGTGGACGGTGTAAGCCAGGTTCTCGCCTGGTGCAGGGCCAGGCCACAACAGGACGCAAAGAAAAGCAAATCAAAAGCGCATCAGAAGCGGTAGTCTGGCCTTCTCGACGCGGCCAGGAAATTACGCATCGGGGATCCGTCCCCAGAACCCTGCCAGGCGTGGTCGGCGGCGCACGAGGTCTCACCTGCGGGCACCCCTGAGGGCGGCCTTGCTGTAAATACTGGCGGCTGGCACGGTCGCCGACGACGACGACGGCGGCGGCGGCGGGCGGGCGGGCGGGCGGGCGGGCGGCAAGAAGGCCCCAGCACCGTCGGTCGTCGCCTCCGTCGTCCCCTTTCCCTGCAGCTTCCTTCTCAAGCTCGTGAGCGAGAGAAAAATCTAGCAGTGTCGTAATCGAGTCGAAGGGAAGCCCCTTCCCTTTGATCCTTTCCCCATGGGTGGGGTGTCCCGGGGGGGGTCCCGGGGGGGGTCCCGGGGGGGTGGGGGGGCAGATTCCGTTTTCCTCGGGCGGCCTAGACAGCTCGAAAAAACACTCCAAATGAGGTCCGAATGCCCAAGATGGCCCCCGAGACGGCCCAAGAGGGCCCCGAGTCGCCCAAAGATCGGCCGAAAACGCCCAAGATAGCCCCAAGACCGTCCAAGAAGCCTCCAAGACGTCCCAGGCCCCCTCCAAGAGACCCCCAGGAAGCCCCAAGTGGCCCCCACGAGGCTTCCAAGCGGCCCCTAAGAGCTTCCCAAGAGGCCCACAAACTACCCCCAAGAGGCCCCCAAGAGCGCTCGTCGTCGTCGTCGTCGTCGTCGTCGTCGCCATTCAGGGTCGGCGGCACCGGCCGTAAGGCCTTCGCAATACTGGCGGCTGGCACGGTCGCCGACGACGACGGCGGCGGCGGCGGCGGGCGGGCGGGCGGGCGGCCGGGCGGCAAGAAGGCCCCAGCATCGTCGAGGGCGCCTGGTACAGGGTGCTTGGAGGCCTTGTCGACCTCCTGGGACCACGTCCTGGTGCCCAGGATGATGACGTTGTCCGAGTGCTTGCGGATCTCCTGGCAGCCCAAAGAAAGACGAGCGCGAAGAAGGGGGCGGGGGCAAATAAAGGGAAGAGGAAGAAACAAGTGGGGTTGGCTGGGAAAAGGGAAGAGGAGGGGAGGGGAGAGAAGGGGAAGAGAAAGAGAAGAGCTGAGGTGAGAAGCCATAAGGGAGGGGGGGCGGAACAAGGAACAAGCGGAGAGACAAAATAGAAACGAGAAAGGGCGAGCGAGGAGAAAATTGATAGGAAGAGGGAGGAGCGGAGAAGAGCGAGGACGAGAAGCGACAGCAGCAGCAAGGGACGGGGTGAGAAGGGAGGGCGGAGGAAGAGCAGAATACAGAAGGTGTGAGCATAAAAATTCGAAGGTTCGCGCACATTCCTTGGGTCGGCGCTGGATCCCCCTCTGGCGCGCGAGGCTCTCCAGGGGCGGCGCCAGAGGCGCCGCCCAGGGAAAGTGGGGCGCCGACCCCAGAAATCCGCCTCGGAAAATGTGTGCACGCCGCTGCTTCTCCTCTGCGAGGCCGGGGAGGCGGCAGAAGGCAGAAATGCGGGGAGAGGCGCTCCTTCACGACCTGCTCGTGGTAGGGCTCGATCTGGCTCTTCCAGCCCTCCTGGGGAAACCAGAAGGTACCGATACCGCTACTCCCCGGACCTCTCCCAGGGTGCTTTCTGACCAGGATTTCGAGGCGAATCCAGCGGTGGCGACGAGGGCCTCCCGGGAGACCCAAAAAGGGAAAAACGAGGCAAAGGTAGTGGTGTGGGTACCTTTTCCTCCTCTGACCCTCCTGCTGGGGCTCGTTGAAGGTCTCGAACAGCACGGCGGGCTCGGGGCGGGCGCGCCAGGGCGCGGGCAGGCGCGCGGCACGCTGCACGCGGGGAGGCAAAGAGAAGCACCTGCACCGTCGGAGACCGACCTGGGGAGCTCAGCATGGCGCCTCGGTCTGGGGCGCCCGGAAAGGGTACGGGAAAAGACGGGGACGGTGCCCAGCAGCACACTTCGTTAGACACCGACAGCGTCCGCTGTTGGGCAGGCGACCTCCTGTCTCAAATGGGCAACGTCCGCGGCTTCCCAGACCTTTCCGGGGGTGCGTTCTGGCCGGAATTTCGGAGAAATCCAGCCGTGGCGAGGAGACATCTCCAGGACGAGCAGCAGCACCGGTACTTATTCCTCCTCTGAGCATGCGCGCGCAGCGTGCGCGAGCATGCCTTCCGACCCCCGGCCTGGCCGCCCCCGCCTCCTCGCCCGCGCCCTTCGCTGCTGCTGCTGCTGCTGCTGCTGCTGCTGCTGCTGCTGCTGCCGCCGCCGCTGCCCGGCCGACGCTGCTCCGCTGACCCCGCCCCCGCGTGAGAATCAAATGATGCTCGCGCGCCACGAAGAAGGGACTGCACGAAGGCTGCTTGGTCAGCAGCGAAGCGGTGCAGAAGTGTCCCGACGAGGCACAAGGGAGCCCTCCAGCTTGCACCACGAGCGCTGCTCCACCCGGCCAGGTGCGGTGCAGAGGCTGGCTCCGTGCGCACAAGGGCACTACTCGCATGCCGGATGCTGCTGCTGCCGCCTCCCTCCCCGCCGCGGTCGCCACGGGCACGCCCCGGGAGGGCGAGCGTGCCGGCCCGTTCTCGCCGCGCCCGCGGGCGTGAGCGCGCGCGCCCGGGGCGCGCCCCGTCCAACGTGGAGGCCAAACGAGGCAGCAGCGTCGGCAGGAGCGCCGCCCCTCTCGAGACTCCCGTCGAGCTGCACATGCTGGAGGCGATGCCGCACGGTCTCCGCAGGTTGCCGGCGGCCTCTGGAGGCCCACGACGTCCAGAAGCCTCGATCCTCGCAGCGCCTTCGTGCATTGCAAGACAATCTTGGGCGAGAGCGCGAGTCCCGAGTGAGGCGTGAGGAAGTCTCGAGCGAAAGCGCGATGTTGGGCGGGAACGGCTGTTGGGCCAGGGGCACAGTCTCAGGCGGCCGATTCCAGGAGCGAGCCCTGAGGGGGGCACTTCAATTGGAAAAACACATGGGCACTGGGGAGGTGAACAGTGAGCAATTCTTCAAAGTGAGAATTCAACACCAAAAAATGGCCTGGGGGCATGGTGCTTGAGTTCACTTTGGCCGAATTTTCAGACCAAAGGAAGAAAGGGGAGGACGGAGGGGGACGAGGAAAAAGAGAAGGAGGGATGGATTCCCCCAATTGAAAAATACTCCCGAACTCCAGTCCTGCGTCGACGACGCCGTGTCAACAGCAGTTACGGCTATCAAGGAAGGAGGAAAGCAGGGGAGAAGGAAGGGACAGGAGAAGGAAGAAAAATCAACATTCACAAAAACTTCCAGGGGCCCGCACAGATCCATCGAATCGCCCCCCCCCCCCGGGTGGGCTTGTTTTCCACCGCCACCACCATAAGTAGGAGGGGGAGGGCGTCCTCCTCCTCCTCCTCTTCTTTCTCCTCCTCATCCATCTCCTTCCCCCCCTCCAACTTGTGGTGGTGGTGGTGGTGGTGGAAAACAAGCCCATCCCCCCCCCTTGACGCGCGTGGAGCGCGCCAGGGGCAGCCGCCAGAGGCGCCGCCCAGGGCGCCCAGCGCCCACCCCCTCAAGAGATCCGCGCGCGCCTCCTGCAGCTTTTAGGCCGCCGCCCTCCTCTCCGTGTGAGAGGCGGAGGCTCCTCCGCCTCCGGGGACGGAGGCGGACGGCGGAGGCGGAGGATCGGATCGACTCGGCAGGAGGAAGCGTCGAGCCCCGCAGCGCCGTCTGGAGCCCCCCCCCTCCATTTCGGGGAGGCAACAGGTGTGGAACTTAAAAACTCGGAAGCAGCGATGGCAGTATTTGTATCCCGCCCTGCCCCACGGATAAGGTGGAACCTCCCCCGAAGGCGGAGTCAGAGGAGAGGAAGGCGGAGGAGATATGAGGGAAGGAAGGATGAAGGCAGAAGCAGCCCGTCTCTAGAAAAGGTGGTTCCTACCACCTCCGCTTTCCGCGCAGCCCGTCGACGGACGGTTTCAGAAAGTCGAGAGTGGACGTGGCGAATGGGGTCGCAAGGAGAGAAGGATGGTGGCTTCCAAATATGAAATTCCTGACCACGACCTTTTATCCAAGATCTGGTCTTCCCGTTCTCGATCGAGGCCGCGGCCCTGGGAAGAAGCAGCGCTCGCTACCAATATGTTCCGTCATCAATCTGCCGTCGACTGCTTGACTCAGGCTTCGCTAATAAAAGGCGAATCTAAAACAGCATACTCATGAGGTCCGCGCGGATTTTTTGGATCGGTGCTGGACCCCCTCCCTGGGGCGCGCATGATGCGCCGCCAAAAGGTTCCAGCGCCGATCCACCAAATCCGCGCGGGCCTCCAGAAGCTTATACCTACGCCCCTTTTCTTCTGATGAAAAACGAGGCTCCTCGTCTCCGTACTTCTTCGCCATCTCCCCGAAGAAGGCCTCCGAGTCGCTATTCCGCCGCCACTCCCGCGCAGCAGCCGCCACCGACGCCAGCGCTCCCGCCGCCGTGGCCACCCCAGGGCGGCAGAGCGAGCGACCCTCCTGCGGGTCCTGCTGCGCCTGTCTTGGCCTCCTCGGCATTCATCCTCCTCCTCCTCCTCCTCCTCCTCATCCTCCTCTTCCTCCTCCTCCTCCTCCTCTTCCTCCTCCTCCTCCTCCACTTCCTTTTCCTCCCCCTCCTTCTCCTCCTCCTTCTCCGCCTCCTCCTCCTCCGCCACTTCCTTCTCCTCCTCCTCCTCCGCCTCCTACGACGACGACGACGACGACGACGACGACGACGACGACGACGACGACGACGACGACGACGACGACGACGACGACGACGACGACGACGACGACGACGACGACGACGACT